CCACCCCACACAGAACAACACAGTTTGGTACATCCAAACAGTGTGAGTCTGTAAGGAAAACAGTTGTGGTTTTAATGTAAGGCATCTTTTAAAATGCAGTATTTTGGAATATTATTTTGAGAGCTCATGATTTAGAATACGTTTCCAATTCATGCACCTTATGAATGACATATTCAATTTAGGTCGACTTCCTTCAGCAAGCTAACAAAGACCTGGAGAAGCACATACAGGAGCTTATGGAAACTAAGGAAACGGTCGCTACTGAAGTGGTTCATTTAAGTAACAAAAATGAAGAACTCTGCCAAGAATTAACCGAAATAGACCAGCTAGCACAGCAGTTGGAAAGACACAAAGAAGAAGTGCTTGAGACGGCGGATAAAGAAATTGGGGAAGCCAAGGTAATGATGTGTCGAGGCCCTGCAGAGGGACAGTCATGAATTCTAGATCACAGCGACACACTGAGCTTGATTGTGTTAAGTGTCTGTGCTCCTCCACCCTCCATGTGTGTGTGAAATAGCCAAGGCTTTTTAAAGTATTGTTTGCACCTTTTTTCAGTGACTGCTTCTGCTCTAATTGACTGTCTTTCTCAAGCACACTAGGCCACATCTCCAAACTCTCGCCTTCTTTCCTGTAAGGTGTTTGCTCATCTCTGTTCTTTCTCTGTTACGGAAGAGCTTTCGAGTTTCCCCTGTGTGTCATTTTGTGGTTCCCTTCAAACGTGCCAGTTTTTGGAAGCTAGTTATGTCCTTAGCAGCCCTGGTGATGTGGTGGGTTACATGTTGGACTGCTGATCGAAAGGTCAGCAGTTTGAAACCACTCAGCGGTTCTCAGCCTGTGGGACTCGACCCTTTGGGGGTCGAATGACCCTTTCACAGGGGTTGCTAGATTCATAACAGTAGCAAAATGACAGTTATGAAGTAGCAACAAAAATAATGTTATGTTGGGGTTCACCACAACATGAGGGACGGTATTAAGGGCCACGGCATTAGGAAGGTTGAGAACCACTGCACTAGCTGCTCCCGGGCACCAGAGGGACATTTTTACTCTATCCCATAGGGTGGCTGTGAGTCGGAATGGGCTGGAAGACAGGGAGGTTTTGTTGTTTATTTTTGCATGTATGTCTGGGCATTGTTGTTCGTTTGTAACTAATATATTATCACCTTCAAGAGTTTATTTATTTAAATAGGTGAGAGGGATATAATTTCTAGTTTATTCTAAATATTTGCAGCTTAAAACAAAACTGACATATTGTTCATTTTTTATATAGCCGATGCAATCCAAGTCCCTTAGATTTTTAGGGCAATAAGACAACCTTTCATTGTTTGTTTAGAACAGTATATACCTGACTGCATTCTTTCTTAACTCTCAGATATTTCCTGACAATATGTCTCCTATATCCCAGAAATCCATTGCCATTTAATTTTCCACAAAATTTTATTTTATTTTAATATATTTTTTATGCCTGGATATTGTTTTCTTTTAATTGTGTGACTGTAATTGTAATTTTGTGGGAAAATTTTGTTTCAACTTCTTGTGACTGTAAGTTTCAAAGTGTTAAGATTTTCCTCTGAATAGTGTTATCACTTCACTGAGTAACCAGTGAGTAAGAGTGAAAAATATGCCACAGTGTTGATAAAATGATAAATACATTTTTATTGGGAATAACTCCCTTAGTTTGATATAATAGGAAGAAATAGTGTCTTTACTAGAGGCTCGTTGAGCCCTGATAGTTCAGGCTCTCTTCTTTTCTGGTGCTTCAAAAGCTTTTGTATCTAAGAGCATGTGCCATTACGACCGACCGGCGTGCGATGGATACTGTCTTCAGGGACTAGGAGGAAGGCAACTGTGAGGGGGAAAACTGGAAAGGAGGACTCATACGCACAGCAGATAGAACATGGTTAAGAAGGACTATTAACCAAGAGGAGCACTGGTAATGTAGTGATTTATGACTTGGGTTGCTCAGCTCAAAGTCAACAGTTCAAAAACGCCAATTGCTCCCTGGGCCACTGGAGAAAGATGAGGTTTTCTACTCCCACAAGGGTTTATAGTCTCAGCAACCCACAGGGGCGGTTCTCCTGTTTCCCATCAGGTTGCTATGACTTGGAAACAACTTGATGGCAGTGAGTTTTGGGTTTTCTTGGATTAGCAAGAAGTTTGCTGAAGAGTGCAGATTTCCTCAGCTACTAACCAAGAAGTGGGCAGTTATGACCCACTCAGCTAGACCATTGAAGAAGGCCTAGTGATCAGTCAAGGTGAAGTGCATAGCCAGTTGTGCTCCTAACTCCTAGCATCACCGCAAGAAGGAGTCAACCTGGCAGCAGTAGTTTTTGTGTAGCCAAGTCAAGGATCCAGTATTGACTGAAAACTGTGTGCACACCATAGTTCTGTGCACCACTTAGAAAGTTTCCATGTTATTCCAGGGGTAGGTTGAACCTGCTCCGTATCAGACAAATCTGCTCTACATCACTATGCTAATTTAGTGCTGTTTTCCTTGTTTCTGTGGTTTTAGTTTGACTGCAACACTCCTGTATCACATCTCTTTCCTTTGGCATGGCATTCTGTCTTACGCTGTACACAGCATACTGCACACAGCTTCTTATGACCCATGGACAGGGCTCAGGATGGGCAGTGAGACTCAACCCCTTAGCATCCAACCCTCTCAGTTGTAGTCCAGGGCATCCAGGTTGGCAGTAGCAGGCAGGGAGAAGCAAACAGACCAAGAAAATCAGATTATAGTGTGCCACAGGTCTGTCCTAAAAATCAAGGCTCAAGAAAATTCCTACAAATGTGTAGGTGAAGAAAACAAAGGAAGAACAGATTTGCAGGTTGCCCTCTTGTTTCTGACACTACAGATTGATCCCTAGGGAGATTGAAGAGAAGCCTCCTCCTTGAAGGTGAGAGAGCTACAGCCATAGAGCCGTCTCCCTGGTGAGAGAATAGAAACTACTGGAACTGTTATCTGGTCTCATGTGCACTATGCCTTGGTGATAAGTAACTATTCATAGACTGTTAGGTATTTAGCTAATAGGCTTTTTTTGTTTCCACAACTTTATTCAGTGACTTGCAGTATATAATTCATTGTTTTTCTAGTATATCCACCAAGCTGGGCAGTGTTTGTCATATCCCTGTCAACCATTGGTTCCAGGCAATTTTAGAATATGTCTCAATGCCGACTCATAGAATACTTCCGTCACCTCAGAAAGGAACCTCCTATCACTTCGCTCTTCTCCTTCAGTTCTCCCAGGTGCTCCTGTCTCTAAGCAACTGCTATTCGACTTTCCCTTTCTATAGCTGCCTCTGTTCTGAACTTCCCTATGAATCAATTCATGTAGTTTGTGTTTTTTAATGGATGAATGCTTTCATTTAGCTTATTGTTCTCAAGGTTATATTGTTTCCATGTTATATAGCATGTGAGGGGGCTTCAAAACAATTGTGGGAAATTCTTTGATCTTTTACTCTATTTTTCTACAAACTTTTTGAAGTCTCCTCTTATGTCAGTACTAAATATCGTTTAACAACCAGATAATAAATACTCCATTGTGGATTTATTGCATTTGATTTATCCATCCATTGATGAACATTTGAGTTTTTCCTGCCTACTAAGAATAATGCTACTATAAACATTCGTGCAAGGAACTCGGGTGGTGGTGTGGGTTACCACAAGGTCAGCAGTTCAAACCCATCAGTCACGAGGACGAAAGATGAGGCTTTCTCAGAAACTCAGAAACCCCTGGTGCGGGTCTAAATGGGTTAATATATTAGGTTGATATGAGTTGAAATTGACTTGATGGCTATGAGTGTTTGGGGTTTTTTTAAACAATTATGTATAAGATTTTGCATGGATATATATTTTCCACGTCTTTTGAGATATGCGTAGGAGTAGAATTCCTATGTCACATGGTAGCAGGGTTTAGTTGTTTGAGAAACAACCAGATTATTTTCTATTCCCACCAGCTGTCTATTAATAGGTGTTTTATTCCTAGAAAGAGATTAAAAGAAAACTCTGTGAAATGCGAGACCTTGAAGAGGCAATGTCAAAACTTCAACTGGTAAGTAGGAGACAGTGAAATACCAGAATTTTCAGTACAAAAATTTTTATGCTTTATTTTGTACACATACACATTTTTTTGTCCACACACATTTTTAATGTGATATAATTGAAATATTATCACTCGTTTATCTTTTATCTATAATCAATGGTTTTTAAAATCCCTGGGTAAAGAATATCTTATTAATGAACAAATCACACTTAAGAATGGACTGCCATAAAGCCTATCATATTAAAATCTCAAGTTAAATATAATTTATAATGGAAGGTAAGCATTACTTTGTGACCTTCATGAAGTTATCTCACAGTGTTAGTTGTTCCATGGCGGTAGGAAGGAGAACAATACCTGTCTGCCTAAGTTGGATCATGTTGCTGTTAATGCTGTGTTGATAGTGTAACTGTATTTGGCTTAAGTTTTCCTCTTATGTCCTCTGGTAAGCACACCTCCAAAGCATACACCTGGTTCGTATGCTGTGATGCATTAAAGAAAAAGCCGAACAATCACGATCGAAAAGAAAGTGGAATCACTAAAGCATTTGGGGAAAAAGTGAAAACACTCTCCGTTTGTCACTGGTTACGCTACAATCCATCAATCAGAAGACTTTTCATTTTGTTTTGTATTTGTTAGTGAGAATACGTACAGTGAAGCATACGTGAATTCGATAGTTTATACATGTGCACTTTAGAGATTTTGATTCATCCTTCAATTTTTGCAACCATTCTCGTCGTTTCTAAGTTGTTCCTCAACCTTTAACATAAGCTTCCTGCCCTCTAATGTTCTTCCGTAATCTTTTGAATTGCTATTCATCAATTCAAGCACATATAGATGGACCTTAAAAGAGAATATTGTTCAAGGCAGGCCTTATTTTACTAGTTAAGTTAAACTTTTAAAAAATAGTTTTATTAGCATATACTCACATATCATACAGTTTAACTGTTAATCACATTAAGATTTGTGCAGTTGCCATCACAATCAGTTTCAGGGCATTTTCTTCTTTTTTCTTGTTGTTAGCACCCTATTTCCCACCCAAAATAGAGTTTTAACTGATGCTAAATAAGGACCTGTTCAGACACACCTCCAAATTTAATAATTCTACCACCGCAAAAGGAACACTGTTGAGAATCTGGGCTGAATGATGTGGTTAGCCCCAGGTGATAATTATCTGTGTGTGTGTGTGTGTGTGTGTGTGTGTGTATTTATAATCTAGAACATACATAGTATACTGGGGAGTGTTTATTTATATATATATACATATATAAAGAATGTGTATATATAAAATTATAAGTGATTAATGTTTCATAAATGTGCTTATGAAAATGCCTCTCATTTTTAAGTGCTATAATATTTGTAAAGTTGTTAGAAAATTTTAATTGCAAAAATAAAACTTGCAGGAATTAGACTTATGCCATAAAGAGAAGGAGAGGCTGAATGAAGAACTCCTCATGAAAGCAGATCTTGAAACTGTCGTTTGCCAGCTTGAACAAGAAAATCAAAGACTTGCCAAAAAAGTTGAAAGTTTTGCAGATATAGGTAAGATATTAAATACTGATAGCCTAAAAAGTGATGTGACTCCCTTTTCATTTGTGTTTTTCTTAATAAGTGATCTCTCCTTCAATAAATACTTTCTGAGTGTTTGTCAGCTACCAAAGGAGCCCTGGAGGCGCTGTGGGTTATGCATTGGGCTGCTAAGTGCAAGGTTGCCAGTTCAAACCCACCATCAGCTCTGTGGGTGAAAGATAAGGCTGCATGCTCTTGTAAAGGTTTAGTCTCAGAAACCCTGTATAGCAGTAGTTCTCCACCTTTCTAATGCTTTCTAACCCTTTCATACAGTTCTCATGTTGTGATGACCCCCAACCATAACATTATTTTTGTTGCTACTTCATAACTAATTTTGCTACTGTTATTAATTGGGCCAACCCTGTGAAAGGGTCATTTGACTCTCAAAGGGGTCCTGACCCACAGGTTGAGAACCATTGCTGTATAGGTTTGCAGTGAGTAGATTCCAGAAACCTTCCTAGATACTGTACAACTCTCCCTCAAGAAACTTTCAGTTTTCTTTTTTATTTTGATTAGTTGCTTCAAATGAATCTTTGAATAATTTTCCAATAGACATATGTTCTTTGAGACTGACTGATAATAGAATTACAATTCAGAGTAGCGCTTTCTGGATAGTGGACCATCAAAAATACAGAATCTTTTTAAGGAAACGCATTTGTATCCCCTTAAAGTGCACACAATTGAAAAAGGCTAACTGTTTTCCAGGTATAAGTCCTATATGACTAGTTAAAGAACACAAGAGCATTCAATTCTGGTACCACTTTGAATCAAAATTGTAATCCTTCTTTGTTCTCTGTTGGACACAACACAGATCCCCAACTCATTCATTCATTCTATTAAACACCAGACACGAGAGGAACTCACCTGTACAAAGAATCAACCAAATATGATGCCATTTTCTGTCCTAAAGTTCCTTGAAGTCTCCTGAGAGAAACAAACCTTATTTACAATACAATGTGATAAATATGGTAACAGAAATATGTACCTGGTGCTTTGGTAATAAATGCTGTTGCATTAGAACTTAATGAGAATTCATTTGTAGACTTTTGTATAATTCAGTAACTTTTCTTTAAACAAAACAGATTTCTTCTTGCAATGAGTTAGCTAAAGGAAATGAAGGACATTTATGTTGATATAGACAATAGTGTTAATTTTTAATAAGTTGTAGGACATTTTTATTCTTTAAAAGAAACATTGAAAAGTTAGTTGTTAATTGTATTTTTGCTAAGATGAAAACAACTGTAAATAACTACATCAAAGCCAAATACTGTAAGTTTATTTGAAATTTGTTGTTTTGTACAAAATAACAAACCCTGATTAACAGATTTGTAAGATAATTCCAATCATTTAGAGTCTTGAAGCTAGCAAAGCACTTCCCCACCTACTGAATCTTATTTATTCCTTACTGACATTCTCTGTGATAGATGGGGTTATCTATGATTTGCAGATGAAAACATCGTTATTAATGTGATTTACTTATCCATTCCAACATTTTTTATATGCCGACTAGAAAGTTCCAGATTGAACACAGGTCTTTTGCCCCCAAATCCAATTCTCTACCTTCCACATTATAATCCTTTGTTTACCATAAGAATTATGTTGCTAAACAGGATAAATGTGTGTCCTTTAAAAAACCGCCAAAAAATACATGTATGCGTGTTATATAGGTTACACACACACACACATATCACAAAAACAGTCATTGAAGTAATTGTTGATTTTTTTTCTAGGCAGACTTTCTAATGTTGGTGTTTCATTTCTCATGTTTAGAATGAGTTAATTTTAATTTTGGTATAATAAAGTTATCTTGATGCCAGAATGTGGGATTCTTTTGATAGTTAGCAGTTGTAAACTTTCTAAAGTTAATACTTTTGTAATGCATATTAAACAATTGAATATCATGCTCATCAGTGTCCATTCTGAGTATGTTGATAATAAAAACTCTATTATCAAGGTGGAAAAAAATTCAGCATTTATCAGATTGCTAATTGTGTGTCATTCTCTATCATAGGTAGGGGGCTTATAATGGAAACAGATGTACAAGACACCGGTTCTTATGAAGCCTTTGTTCTACTTAGGAGACAAACTAGTAGAACATAAGCAAGCATTTTAGTTTTACATAGTTAACCAAAAACCTACTGCCAGTGAGTCAGTTCTGACCCACAGTGACACTATCTTGAGTTTGCGAGACTGCAAACATTTATACCATGCAAACAGCTTCGTATTTCTCTTAGGAGCAGTTGATGGGTTTGAACTACAATTTCCCTGAATAATCACCACTGGGCCTCCTATTTTAGATGGTCAGAGAGATTAAAGTAGGAGTTGTACTCTAGGGATTGGTTGATTGAAAGGCTGAAGAGGTCACCAGCCATCTGAAGATGTGGGAGCAGACTCTGTAGGGAGAGAGAGGGACTCGCGCCAAAGCCTGTCTCCAAGAGACATGATGTGTCTCAAGAACTGAAAGAAGGCCAGTGTGCTCCTTAAGGGACAGTATCCCGGGCCCTTCACCAGGCACGTTTGAACTCAAGGTTGCTTCTCCAAACCTGAGCAAGTTATTTAACTTTTCTGTGTTCTTAATGCCCCTATCTAACGGGATGACAATGCCTCAAACAGTGGTTGTGAGTATTAAATGAGGTACTGTATTAAAAGTACATAGGACCATGTCTAAGAATTTGTTGTTCGTGTCCTCTCACAGCTAACTATATCCCATCATATCAGCATAATCCTTCAAATATCTCAGACCCCCTTGGGTCTCAGTATTTTGGGTTTATCCCCCTGTCACAACCCCAGCTGTGGCACAACCAAACCATGTACCTTCCACATGGGTAGCTAACTGCTGGTATATGCACCAGACACATTGATGCCACTGTATTATCTCCTTTTCATATTTTTTGTCTTTTTTCCCAATTAGCATTCAAACACGCTGACTTGTTCTTTGTCCGTTAAGAAAAGCTTCGGGCTCATTCCTCTCCGGCCACCCTTTCTTCTTCTTTATACCTTTAATATCTTGAGAGAGTCTCGTCATTTGCTCCATCACTCATAAGGCCTTAGCTCCGCCATTCACCCCAGTTTGACTGTTCCCACTCAGCACTGGAACTGCTCTTGTTGCGGTCCTCAGCCGCCTCCATTGTCCTCACACGGTGGATGCTTTTCATTCATTAACTCATTTGACCTCTTTTGTCCAGCACCCTTGCTCAGGCTTGGCTTCTTCCATAGCACTATTTCCGAGTTTCCTCAGCTCGTCCTCCAGTTTGTACTGCACGTCACTTTTATCCAAGTGCAGTTGAGATTACTGCTTGTTTCACTTTGGTGATGCTTTGTGCACTGTATTTTCAAACCAGTGCTGAAGGCTGAATCAGATGTGTCTTGAAGATGGTGCTGTGTCTCTGAGTGAGAGCAAGCATCTGTGAAATTAGGCAGGATGCTGTGACATTGGGAGTCCTAATGGCACAGTAGGCTGGGCATTGGACAGCTAACCAAAATCCACAGTTTGAACTCACTAGGCACTCCACAGGAGAAAGATGAGGCAGGCAGCTTCCATAAAGATTTACAGCCTTGGAAACCCAAGAAAGCATGTTGTTAGGGCTATTCATGTATATCTTTTATTAAAGTCAAGCTTAATGTTCAAATTGTACATAAATTATAGATTTTCTTTTAATGCACTTTCAAGCTCCCAGAAAGTACCATGAGTAATGTACTACTTTATCCTGTAGTTCCACATAGTATCCATTCTTAAGTTAAAACAAAGGGAGACTTTGACTTATTTAAACATTTAATTAATTTTGGCTTTTGCTGTTTTTCTTTTCTTCTCACCGTTCACCTCTTTGATATTTCCTGGCCCTTATTGGTGACCATGTAAAACAGTTCATGATTTTTAGTAGATTGCCTTCATAAAGATGTTTGACATAATTTACGTGGCTGATTATACATTATATACACAACAGTCTCTTAAGATGTACTCATTTTAATTTGCAGAAAGAGATCTTACTTTGGAAGTTGAGAGGATGCGTCTAGAGCATGGAATAAAACGCCGAGACCGGTCGCCTTCTCGTCTAGATACGTTTCTGAAAGGCTTAGAAGAAGAACGAGATTATTATAAGAAAGAGCTAGAAAGACTCCAACATATTGTACGGCGAAAATCTAGCTCTACAAATTACTTTTCACGTGAAAAACTTCAAATTTTAAAAACACAAGAGAAGGTAATATTCATTTATCAGACTATCACATGAGCAAACTTTTTTGGTTTATTAAATGTAACTGGTATTGAATGTAACATACCTGCTGTTAAGAACTCTTTCTGAATTTTTTATTTTTGTTTACTTACATGACTGTACCGTGGGAGCATTTTTTAATTAGTTAAAATACTTTAGGACGAACCTGTTGATTCCTAGAAACTAAAGAAAGGCTGAATGGGGAGAGGGTCGAGGATATTTGGGCTTCCGGAAACGGAAATGACTACACTGGTCCCCTCTCTCTGGGCTGTACGTCTTTGCCTGTGTGCTGCGCTTTGGCAGAGCAGAATGGATTTGTCCCCCACCAGACATCGCGACTTCATTTTATTCCCAGTTTCCATGGAGCAGCCGAGTCCTTGGAAGGCTGATTGATTCCGTTGTACTGACCACATATCCTGAGTCAACCGTGCAGTAGAAGATGGGTAGAAAGTGGGACTGGAGGAGGGGAGAGTAGGTCATTCCATTTTCCCATCACAACCACATTTTCATGTCACTCAAAGATAGTCACTTTGTATTTCAGCCTTGATAATGTTTTCTGTACATTCTATTAAAAGTTAGCCATATCTCATGAGAAGTTAAAATCATGTGTCTAGTTGAGGTTATAGCATTTTTCATTCTACGGTCACCATTTGAGTTCTTCAGATGTTTCTTTTTTAAAGCTTTGGAGCTACAGGAGTCCTAGAGGCACACGCGAACATAGCGTCAGCTACATACTAGGTTTCGTTGGCTGGAGGTGGGGGGGGGGGGCGTCATTAAACCTCACAACACAACATTGGACTTTAGAGTTGTTAACTGTGCCAGTTCCATTGTCTTGTCCATGAAGGTCCTGGATGTTCAGACAGGGTTGAGTCTTTTTCCTTATTAGACCTTGATTTTGAACCTTATTGGTTAGCGGCTGAATTTTATTTACAATTGGCAATGTAAAATTGCTATATTGTCTGTTGTAAACAATGATTAGGTGGACAGTACAGTGTGAGTTGATTTTTATGGTACTGGGTTCTTTTAAAATACATTTAGGAGAACAACAAAAATAATAAAATATTTTTAAATACATACAACCTTAGGACTTAGAGTAAATCACTGAATTAATCGTTCTCATTGTATAGCAGAATCATCCATTAAAACCGCACTAAGCGGATACAGTTCTCAAAAGTACTTAAATGTTTGAATTAGTAGCTTCACTACTAAAAGATAAAGAAAATCATTAAAATACTAGGAAAATTAGTAAATTGTTTTTCTGAAATTGTAAATGATGTTACCCAGCACAGGTAAAGAATCCATTCTCTGAATCTGAGCACGTTAGGGGTTACTGTGTATTTTAGAGTACTGATCACAAACCAGTGGTGGAGAGGAGGTTGTTGGTAAGTAGATGAGGGAGAGGGGTGGGGTGTAAGACACTATAAGCTATGAAGGGGAAGATGCGCGGCCCATCGAAATTAGGTATTTTACCCACCAAGCTCAGAGGACCATAGCCTAGCTCGGAGCGGCCAATGCACAGAGAGGACCATATGGCCGGCCCCACTGCAAGATGCGACATCCTGCATTGACCTATGGCCCTACATGGGACAGCACTGGAGACACAGTGTGGGATGTGTGACTGAGCTGACCCCACCACACTGAGGCAAAACACTGGGGGCGTGCAATAGAGCGGCAGGGGAAGCAGAGCAAGGAGGTCCCGAGGGAGTATCAAGGATGGACTTTGGGGTCAGGGCGTGGCACCCCATCAGACTCATCTGGAAAACACTCCTAAAGGTCAACAAACAGACCTTGAACTATTAACAGGGTTTTCTTTCTTTTTTTAAATTTTTTTCTATTTTTTCTCTTCTTTTAGATTTTGTCAGTGGCTTTTTTGTTAGTTTGTCAGTGTTGCTGCTGTTATCACTATGTTCTTATGTGCCACTTTGTTTGGTGCTGTCGACATCCACAATTTTATGCGCATATTATTATCTCTGCAGGTCTATCTAGATAAGATAGGCTGGATAAACAATGTATGAAGAAAACAACTGGACCACTGGTGGGGGGGCATGAGAGAGTGGGAGGTGGGGGAAGGGAGGAGGTGTTGGCCAACCGAGGGACAAGGGAACAATGAGTGGTTCAAAACCAGTGGCAGGGAGGGGATGGGAGGACTGGTAGGGAGTGACCAAGGGCAGTGTAACCGAGAGGAATTACTGAAACCAGAATGAAGGCTGAACATGGTAGTGGGACAGGAGGATAGCATAAAGAAATAGAGGAAAGGAGTAGGAGGCAAAGGGCATACACAGAAGCCTAAATACAGGCATGTACATATGTAAATACATTTGTGATTATGGGGGAAATAGACCTATGTGCATATGTATATATATATAGGTTTAGTAGTAGGGTGGCAGGTGGACATTGGGCCTCCTTGCACGCATTCCCTTAATACAAGAGCATTTTGCTCAGCTAATCGGTCATTCCATGATACCCACCTTCCCGACATGATCGCTGAAGACAAACGTGTGCATAAGTAAACGTGGTGAAGAAAGCTGATGGTGCCCGGCTATCAAAAAATATAGCATCTGGGGTCTTAAAGGCTTGAAGTTAAACAAGCAGCCATCTAGCTCGGAAGCAACAAAGCCCACAGGGAAGAAGCACACCTGCCTGTGTGATCATGAGGCGTTGAAGGGATCAGGTAGCAGACACCAAAGAACAAAAACCATCATTGTGGGATCACCTTCCCCATATAAATGCTGAAGACGAATGTGCGCATAATTAAGTGTGGTGAAGAAGGCTGATGGTGCCCGCCTATTGAGAGATACAGCATTTGGGGTCTTAAAGGCTTGAAAGTAAACAAGCGGCCATCTAGCCCAGAAGCAACAAAGCCCACATGGAAGAAGCACGCCAACCTGTGTGATCATAAAGGGTCGAGGAGACCAGGTATCAAGCACCTTAGGGGGAAAAAGATCATATTATGAATGAGGGGAGCTCATGATGGGGACCCATTGCTCATCTGTAGACAACTGGACATCCCTTGCAGAGGGGTACTGGGGAGGAGATGAGTCACTCAGGGTGCAATGTAGCATTAATGAAATTCACAACCTTACTCTAGTTCTTGAAATGCTTTCAACCCCCACACTAACATCCCAATTCTACCTTGCAAACCTGGTTAGACCAGAGGATGCACAGCAGTGCAGATGGGAACTGGAAACACAGGGAATCCAGGGCAGATGAACCCCTCAGGACCAGTGGTGACAGTGGCGATACTGGGTGTGAAGGGGGTGTAGAAAGGGGGAACCGATTACAAGGATCTACATATAACCTCCGCCCTGGGGGTATGGGCAACAGAAAAGTGGGTGAAGGGAGACGCCAGGCAGTGTAAGATATGGTAAAATAATAATTATCAAGGGTTCATGAGGGAGGGGCGAGCAGGGAGGGATCAGGGGGAAGGAAAATGAGCTGATTCTAGGAGCCCAAACGGAAAGCGAGAGTTTTGAGAATGATGAGGGCAACGAATGTATAAGTGTGCTTTACACAATTGATGTATGTGTGGAGTGTAATGAGTTGTATGAGCCCCAATAAAATGATTAAAAAAAAAGATATTAGGTATTTTAAGCATGTTTAAATACAATCTGCTGGCAAATTAACAGACCTCTTTAAAACTGGATTTTATATAAACTGAGGTTTCAACCACTACTTTATGGTAATTGTGGGCATAGTTTATTGATACTGTAATAACTCAGAAAACTACTGGCATTTTAAATATCAGTGATTATCATCAACCCAGCACCTGCTAATTCTCTGCTGTCTCTTGGAAGGCACTGCCTCTTTTCAGCTGGAAGGGAATTGGGGGCAATCAGCAAACCTCAGAACACTGGATTGGCTGTTAGTTCATTTATCTTTTCTTTGACACTCCTGAGTCCAGGTTCAAACAGCCCTGAGTCTTGTTCTCATTAGACCTTGATTTTGAAACTCATCGGCTAGTGGCCATGGTTCTCATGCCAAGTTGTGAGTGTAACGTAATGGAAAGTACTGTGCAGTCGGAGACCTGCCCTCTAGGCCCATTCCACAGACGACCTCAGAGAAGTGACCTGCCCTGGTTTCCTCATCTGCAAAGTGAAGGAAAGGAGCTACAACCTCTTGTGAGGATTAGATGAGATCATTTGAATAAGGACTGTTAGGAACTGAGTTACTGCTTCCAAAACTATGTGTTGGGATTCCAACCCCAGTAACTGGATGTAATCCCGTTTGGGAATAGGGTTTTCTTTTGTATGTTAGTGATGCCATAGAGGGTGCGTGTTAAACCTAACAACTTTTGAGAGTGCCTTAGACATATAGAAGCAAACACAAGGTGGGGTTGGGGGGTTAGATACTATGTGGAGACCCCCACGGAATGCAGAGAAGAACACCAGGCCTAGAGAAGCTGAGACAAGGATCCTCCCAGAGCAAACAGAGAAAGAGCTTTTCTTTAGAGCCGTGCCTTGAATCTGAGCTTCTAGCCCACCAAGCTGTGAGAAAATAAATGTCTGTTTTTCAACACTATCCACTTGTGTGGTATTTCTGTTCAAACAGTACTAGCACACTAAGTCAGGGGCCCCGCGCAGTACCTCATGCCCAGTCCTTACTGTTTGCTGGTATACATACATCAGATGTAGGTAGTGACACTAGGTATCTTCAACAGGTGGATACTGAGTGCCTGCTCTGAACAAGGCCCCGGGATACAGAAATAAAGAAGACATAGTTACTGCCCGCATAGCCTTCAGCATTATGTGTGTGCGTGCGCGCACAATGTGTTAGAGAAAAGGATTTAATTAATATACAGTAACATTTAAGAAATATTTATGTACAAGATACTAAGGGGATTCAAAAAGTAAATGGAATGAAAATGATACTGGAATTTTCCAAAACCTTTTTGAAGCTGTGCTCATGTATTTAGAGAAAAGCTGAGAGTGCCCGCTTAAGAAGGTCAGCGAGTGAATGCTCCAGGAAACCAAATGCTACTATACCAGCATTTAGTATACCTGGTATACCAGGTCTCAGCACTGAAGATAATGGCATATGACCTGTCCCACAGAGTGCTCACATATAGTACACATATTCTTGAGAGAGGATGTGAGGGTGATCTGGCTTTTGCATCTGTCAGCCCATTGATCGCCACGGTTGATTCGGCCGATCTGGCTGGCTGGGCAGGTGTCCCCTTCCACCCCACTGTTTCATGTGTGCCGCTTCTTTGAAGAAAACAATCTTTCCAGATAATTGGAGGACCATTCTTCGGTCAAGGGTATTAGCTATGCACCCCTGCTAGAACCTCCGAACAAGCTCTCCAGTCCATATGCTCATGAGAAAATGTTAATGTCAGAAGAACACAAGAACAATGCAGGATGCAATGGGAGTCTGGAGAGAGTAAATTAGACTGGGTGTTGTCAAAGACCTCCTTGGGGAAAGTGCCATTTAAGCTAAGACCTAGATCATGATGGAAATATACCATCAACTCCTTAATCACTGAGCTCTCCTTTTTGAGAATCTACAGCCATATCCTTTCTCTATTTTTTTTTCCTCCTTTTTTTTTTCCCTTTAGCTATGCCAATACTGTTGCTCAGATTAAAGCTTTTCTTTTGAGGACTTAATCTTTTAAGTCTTAAACCCTGACCATTTTTGTCCTATAGTTGTCATCTTTTCTAGATGCCAGCCGCTCTCATCCATTATGCCTTAATTTGCTTATTTAGCCAAGAAAAGGCTTCAGACCTGCTCACGAGGATCTAATCATGCCTAATGGAAACAAGGGCAGTGTACACACTGCATAGCACACACATACACAGCTGAGTGTCAGATTTTGATCTAAGTAGGAAACAGACAACCAAGGCCCTGCTTAAAGCTGATAGCCGACCAGGCTTCTGTGAATGTGGCTGGCATCCTCCCTGAGCAGGGTACCACTGCCTTTTTTCTACTCAGGTCAGATCCCATAAGAAATTAGTTTGCTGTGCAATGTGTACACTGCTCTTCTTTCTCTCAGCCATAGCTGAACCCTTTTGAACCAGTTCAAAACTCTGGGGGAAAAATAGCATGTTTCCGAGTAGTGGATAAGGACTAATTCACAGATATCTACTATATATGTCTGTGTGTACACAGTGTATATGCAATAAATATTGAATAAAGTCAGAATCTTTCAAATCTATCAAATTATCCCTATTTGAGGCTTCTACATTTGCTAGTTCAGCATTATAATTTCAGAAGTGCCCCAATTTATGTTTGCCTCTTTTGTTTTCCACATGAATTGAAGATAAAGGTTTTAAATTATACTGGAATATTGTTATTCCAATATAACTCTGTGTACAACAGAACAAAACACTAGAATAGTCCGTGTGTTCTTGTTTCAGAAATCTTGGAATTATTTGCTTAATCAATGAGCTTCTTTGATGTTATATAAGTAATTGCATTTACCTGATAGTAAGAGAGACCTCAAGTAAGTCTAAAGCTGGGACATTTGGGGCTGAAGATTTTATCTTGGTTTCAGTCACGGGAAACTCTTTGCTAGACTCTTAGAGTTCCTGGAAGTAGGCGAGCAGACCTGGTCCTTCCCCGGGAGTGGATTATAAGCTAGTGGTTCTCAAAAATGAGCATACCTCAGACTCGAGGAGTTGGTCTGGGATGGGCCCCAAATTTCACATATCTACCAAGTTCCTGTGTGCTGCTACTCATTGATCTGGGAACCACATGTCAAGTACTACTAGTATAACAGTCCAGGAAAATACATAACTGTTCAAGAGTCTGGTGGGATCCAGGCAAGTGCTATCACGGGCAGCTGGGTTCCTGCCAGGGGACTGGCCCAGCACTTCCAGCACTGCTGTGTCTTGCTTTCAATGTGGATCCGTGTGTTTGTGTCTGGCTGGTGCAAACAGTGCACTTAGCTGCTTTCCCAAAGGTGTCCACCCAGAGACATCTCTGAAGAAAGTTCAACAATCTACTTGTGAAAAATCAGCCGCGGAAGAAGACACATAGGAATTCGTCATGAATTGGAGCGGGCTCTATGACGACGAGGGGTTGACTGGGGACTGCCAGCTTCCTGTGGCAGCCGTGTGAAGGTAATGATCACAATCTGTGTTTTCTAATTATGTTTCAGGGTGATTACAACTCAGAAATTTGTATGATCACAAGAGAAAGAGATGAACTTCACTACATGCTAGAAAGATTTGAAAAACACATGGAGGAAATACAGTGCAACGTTAAATTATTGACAGCTGAGCGAGATAAACTAAGCGTGTTATACAATCAGGTAAGAAGTTAATCGTAATGAAACCGAAGGACTCCATAGAACCAATAAAGCCGGTGTACGTCCTTCAAATTAACCTATGGACCTTATGACGCTCCTGCTTATTAGAATGATGGTCACTTGTACTGTCACCTGATTCCAAAAGCAGAGACCGTGTTGAGGTTTTCATATTTTTCCTCCTTTCTAAACGATGCTGGCAGGTCAGTTAGAATCCCTTTCTAAAACTTCTCAGGTCTCTCAGCCAGATTTACCCCTGGGTTTCAGACATGCTGGGACATGTCCAGTAGAATGATGGGTAGAGTTTACTATCTACATAGATACTATTGCAATATTTAGATAAAAAAGACAGCTTAAAAAAAAAAACTTTTTATTAGTAAGTATTTCAAGTCATCTTTATTTTCTTTTTTTTAAAATCATTTTATTTGGGCTTATACAACCCTTATCACAATCTATGCATACGTCAAGTGTGTAAAGCACATTTGTATATTCATTGCCCTTATCATTCTCAAAATATTTGCTCTACACTTAAGCCCCTGGCATCAGCTCATTTGTTCCCCTCCCTCCCTGCTCTCCCCTCCTTCATGAACCCTTGATAATTTATAAATTATTATTTTGTCATATCTTGCACTGTGGCCATACTGGGAGAGTGGAGTGGAAAGGGGAAAATGATTACAAGAATCTACATATAACCTCCTCCCTGGGGGACAGACAAAAGAAAAGTGGGTGAAGGGAGATGTCGGACAGTGCAAGATATGACAAAATAATAATATATAGAAAGACAGCCTTAAAAATAAATTCATCCCTAGGGCATCAGTACAGTTTGGCTCAGTTTCAAAGCCTGGTCTCCCAGCGGACAAAGCATGGTGTTCTTCACCTCAGCAGGCATGCCAGGCTGCCATGTGGTGCCACAGCCACTTTGCATGGGGAAGGACACACACACTTCATTTCCCATGGAAAGACGTTTGCACCCTTCGAGCTTTTCTTGGGTTCTGCAGTGCAAGGTGGTGCATTTCTGAAGTGTGTGGCTTGAGGTTCATTTCTGCAGCTCGTCCTGCATTTCTGGGCTGCCCCACCATTGCCATGGAGACCCACTGTCCCCCGGGGAGCTGCCTTTGTTAGTTACGACTTGCCCATCTGTGCTCTCCTCTCCAAAGTCTTAAGCTTTCTCTCTTTTTGGTTTTATGATCATTAACGTCTTAATTTTCTTTCTCTCATGCCGTTGGGGTTTGGGAAGAAAGGAATAGTAGCGTGTGTTCAGCGAGCTTGTGTTTTGTTTTTTAATGTGTACACAGTTCCCAAGTGTGTTTCTGTTTGGTCTTTGAATTCTTACAGACTCAGGAAGAACTATGCGTGCTGAGACAGGAATCCGCCCGGCCCACAGTCTCCCCTAATCTCCTGAGCCTTATGGAGCATGAAAAAGAACATGCGCTAGCTGATTTAAGAAGAATTGTGGTAGAAAAGGAAGCTTTAAGAGAAAAGTTAAATGTAAGTACTTTATTTTTAGTACTCATAAGGCCCTTTAGTGGCATAGCGGTTAAACCACTCTGCTGCCAACTACGAGGTCCATGATTCGAAATTAGGATTGAAACATGCATTACAAGAGTTGTCTTTATGACAGGGAGGTGCGAATTAGTGGGTACTCTTTATGACTACCCTTGTAACTTATCCCAGTGTATGGAAGAAAAGAGGGGTCTTTGTATGCACTTTGCTGTGAAGTAGGAGTGGACCAGGGGTTGGTAAACTATGGCATGGGCCAAATTAGCCTACTGCCAGTTTTTCTATTGCCATGAGCCAAGGATGATGTTAAATGATTGAAAAAGCATTTCATGTATAAAAATACTTTATGATACATGAAAGTTGTCCGAAGTTTGTCTTCCAGTATCCATAAAGCGTTATTAGAACACCATGCTCGTTGGTTTATGCATGGCCATGGCTGCTTTTGTCTAAGTTGATTGAGTAGTTGCAACAGAGATTGAATGACCCACAGAGCCTAAAATATTATCTGGCTCTTGACTGGAAAAGTTTGCTAACCCCTGCACTCAATAGGTAGTGCCTTTTGTATAGGAACACTATCTTCTATTTGTATATTTGTTGTTGCTATGTGGAGTCAATTTCAACTCACAGTTGTCCCATGTGATGGAGTAGAACTTCCTCATGTGGTTTTCTAAGCTGTAATCTACACAGGAGGAGCCCTGGTGGCCCAATGGGTTAAGTGTTGGATGGCTAACAGAAAGGTTAGCAGTTCAGGCCCACCAGCAGCTCCACAGAGAGATGAAGCCGTCTCCTTTCTCAGAAATCCTATGGGCCAACTCTGCTCTGCTCTGCAGGGTGACTATGAGCCAGAACCCACTAGTCAGCAGTGGGTTTGGTTTGGGAATCTTTACAGAAGCAGATCTCCAGGTCTTTCTCCTGGTGGTTTCCAACTGCCAGTACGCATTCTGGAAATTATTTTTTAATTAAAATGCTACTAGAGTATGCAGACTCTTTAAAGTGTTGAAGAGGAAAGGTGTTACTTTGAGGACTAAGATGCACCTGCCCCAAGCCAGGGTTTGTTCATATACCTTATATGTATGTGAAAGTGGAGCATCTCATAAAGACGATCAGAGGAGAATCAATGCATTTGCATTATGGTGCTGGCGAAGAATGTTGAAAGTACCATGGACTGCCAAAAGAACAAACAAATCTGTCTTTGAAGAAGTACAGTCAGAATCCTCCTTGGAGGTAAGAATGAGAGACTTCGTCTCATCTACTTTGGAAATTTTATTGGGAGAGACTACTTCCTAGGAAATGAGTATTGATAAAGTGTAAGGGCAGCAAAAAAGGGAGCCCCTGAGTAAGCTGTGTTAACACGGTGGCTGCAGCAGTGGTGAGGGTGGGGCAGGACCAGTGGTGCAGAGGACCACTGAGTGAGAACGGCTCCAACAGCACCAAGCAACAGCAGAGCAAGTGCTGTGGACAGAAGCGTGGCTTGACATCCCAGGCACTCAGTAGTTGTGTGAACCCACACAAGTCGCCCTACTATCCTGAAGTCAATTTCTTCATCACTAAACAGGAATATTCAGGAGCCATGGTGACAGGTAAAGCGTTGGACTGCTAACCACAAGGTCAGAAGTTCCAACCCATCAGATGCTCCTCAAGAGAAAGAGGAGGCTGTCCGCTCCTATAAAGATTTACAGCCTGAAGAATCAACTTACTCACAGTGGACGAGGTTTTTTGCAAACAGGAGCACTACTACTTGCCACATCTACCTCTGTTAAGAGACTTGACTTCATGGGATAGCAGAGACGTAAAAACTGTAAATGTTTTGCTAGGCCTGTTAAGACATACCAGTGATGAGATAGAGAAGCGCATGGACTGGAGAGTCAGAGGCCCCCAGGCTGTTTTGCAGGCTCTACAACTGTTGTACAAGCCTGAGGTGCCAAGAGAGCCATTTTCTCAGTCCTTGCCATACCCACAGCTCTTCTATGTCTGTTAGTCTGTTCTACACTACCCGCCCCCCCCCCCCCCACACCATGTATATAAAAAAGCTTTTTTGAGATTTCATTTACATACTATAAAAATCCTCCCTTTAAAAGGATACACTTCAGTGGTTTTTAGAATAGTCACATAGTTGTGCAGCCAACACCACTCACTACCTAGTTCCAGAACATCTCCACCTCAGAAAGAAACCCCATACCAGTTAGCATTTACCTCCAAACCTCTCAGCCCTCCACAGAACCAAATCCATTGGACCCTAGGAGACAGAATCGAGCTGCCCATAAGGTTTCTGATACTGTAATCTTTATAGAAGCAGATTGCCATTGTACCTGACCCAGAAGAGCCCCTGGAAGCGCCAGCTATCCAGTCAGGAATGCAGTGCTTTCCCACTGCGCCAGGCTCATCCGTGTTCCAGCATGCGTCAGTACCTCATCCCATCTTTGCAGAATAATATTTCAGTGAATAGATACACATTATTTTATCTGGCCATTTATCAGTTGATGGATACTTGGCTTATTTCACTTTGGGGCTGTTATTAATTATGCCTTTCTGTATTCTAGTTTTTGCTTAAGTATATGTTTCAATTCATACAATTCATAGTTGTATACCAATAATAGAGTTGATGACTCATGATCACTCTTTGTATAAGCTTTTGAAACATACCAGACAGCATGTTTCAAGGCCGCTGCACCATGTTACATTCCCTTCAGCAGTGTCCTTGTGTTCTCATTGCTCCACAGCCTTACCAACACTTACCGGTCTCTTTTTCGTCTAGTCACCCTGTGGCCTCAAAACAAGACTATTGCCAGATAGATGACTTAAAGATAGTTCCCTGTATTCTGTGTTTCCGTTTTACTACATTCACACATACTCAGTAGCACAGATTTTTAGTTTTGATAAAGTCCAGCTTGTTCATTTTTTTCCTTTTGTTGCTTGTGCTTTCAATGTCACACTAAGGGGAAGTATTTTATATTTTCTTGTGTACATTCCAAAAGAAGGTAAATATGTTAATACATGGAAGGTATTAACTCCACCTATCACATTACAAACCAAACTCCATGCTCAGTGCCGTTGAGTTGTTTCCAACTCACAGTGGCCCTGGAGAAGAGCGCGGCACTGCCTTGTGCGCTTCTAAGACTGTGAGGCTTTGCAGGGAGTCACAGCTTCATCTTCCTCCCCAGAGCTGCCGGTGGGTTTGAATGACTGACCTTGCAGATGTCAGCCCAGCATGTAGCTCACTCCTCCACCAGGGCTCCTTAGCACATGATAAATTACCCCCCAAATAGTGAGTATTCTTTACAAGGAGTATATCACTTGCATTCAGTAAATATTGCTGAAGGCTTTAAAATTGGGAATGAAAACACTTAAGCATTTATCTTCATTATGTAGTACAACTATAACAAGAAAGTTTTCTTGTAGAAATAAAATTTTGAATTATAAAATGGAAAACTTTGTACCAATATGGCAGCTTTCAGCATAACCTGCTGACTTGACCTTTTCTCTATTTGCTAAAATGACCGGGGAATGTACAAAACAGAGGGAAAGATGAAATACGAGTAGTGCTAAGAACCAGAAAAGTAACATTCAGATGCATTCTGACTCATGAGTAGCAGGATTTATCAGTTCAGACTACATCTTTTACCGAACGGGAAGCAGGCATCTACTCCTCAAGTCCCGCGTTTACTACTGTTGGTGCCCATTGGGGGAATCCAGGTGTCTTAAGAGACTCCTTACCCGCTGAAACCTGCTGTCTCATCCATCACCAAATCTTATCGATGGTACCTCTTACATAATCCTTAGCATTTATTCTTTCCCACTTGGGAGACTGTTTTAAGTGATTTTTTTGCACATAGAACATTGGATTGTTGAGCAGTCATTATGTCTTCACAATGGCCCTTCAAAGTAGACACTTTCAGTCAGGTTCAATAGGCCACCTGGCTCTGACATTGCAAGGAGTCTGGCTCCTGAGCTCACGCTCACCACTTTCCTTTAAATATGGTACTTCTCTCCATTCCCTTGGCGCCGTTCTTCATTCAGGCTCATTTTGCCTCTCACCAGCGGTAGTATGGATTAGTGGCCTTGATACTTCTAGTTCTTTACCTGTCAGATCATTTTTACATCCTGAAGTCAGCGTGATCTTTCAGAAATGTAATTCTGATCATGTCACTTCCTACTTAAAATCCATTACTATTTCCAGGGACCACAATGATTGGCCTTCCTTGAAAGAGCGATTGCCTTCCTCAAAATAGTTACCTACTTGGAAATGAACAAAGATGAGATTAAAAAGACAAGAAATGGAATATTGCAGGGCCATGCTAGAAATCAGTTCCAGGAAAGGGCCCCATCAGCTGTGTTAACACAAAGGCTGCTTATCTGGTTACCTTGGACAATTTCTTTTTGTTGCTGCTAAATCTAGGATTAGCAATACAATGGTGGTGTCTTTTCCAGACCCCGCCCCGCAGGGATCTCCCTTTGCCACACCTAACTCTCACTTGTAGTCCCTGACTCAACTTTTTTTTCCAGACTTAAAAGCTTCCCCACTGCTTCCAGACCCCTTTCTTGACTATTTCCTATTGCTGTTTTTAGATCCAGGTTAACATAATTTCAGGCAGGAAATGAACAATGAATGCTAGTGTCCTTTTCTATATGTTGACATGAAGTTCTCTTTTTTACCCATAACAGAATATTGATGCATTCCATCATAATTTTTGGTTTAAGCTTTGCCTTTTCTGCTAGCCTATGTTGATGTCTGATGGATCTTGACTGAAAACAGAATACGAGAAAAAAGTATTACCTGAGTTTTATTGACTATGCAAAGGTATTCAACTGTGTGTAATAAATTACAATGCAGAACACTCCGTTTTTCTTGTGCGGAGCTTGCACATAGATCAGGGAAACAAGGGATTACTACATGGTGTAAAATCATGAGTACTGTGCATCAGGTTGCGTTCTTTCACCATTCTTACTCAATCTGTCTGCTGCGCTCAGAATCAGGAAGCTGGACCACATGAAGAAGAAGGTAAGGTCAAGATTGGAGGAAGACTCATTAATAGCTTATGATATGCAAGTGATACAGCCTTGCTCACTGAAAGCAAAGAGGACTTGAAGTGCTTACTGATGAAGATTGAAGGCTGTAGTGACATCTGACCTCCTTCAGCTACAGAAGGGAGGAGGAGAATCTAACTCTGCCCAAGGATGCTTCCTGTGAGATAGAGTCCAGCCATGCTTCCACCCTCCTTCCTTCTGCTTTATTCTGAGATCAGCGATCCCTCCTTGACACTCTTCTTCTCTGCTGTGTCCACTAATCTGTTGTAATAGCCGCACAACTCCCATATAATACTCAGGATTATGAGATTTACCAGGGAACATAGCAGGTTATAAAAGATAAGAATGCAAGTTTTCTGCAGCCAATTAAGCTGACTGCCCTCCTTGTGGGGGCCAGTGTGCAATGGCTGCAAACAGCAAGCCTCCTCGGTAGTGTATGTATAGGCTGCCCTAAGGAACCTTGGAGACAACACTTTGCTGCTTTTCGATGGCGCTGGCCTGGCTAATTTCTGCTCCCTCTAACCTAGACTCCAAACTGCTGCGAGGTACTGCTGGAAAACCCCAAGGCACAGTGGCTAGAGGCCACATTGGTCAAGTCACCACATCCATCCATCCATTGGCACCAAGCTTCAAACCCAAGGAGCATGTGACAGGCCTCATACAGGGTCAAGTTCATTCCCCTGGGTGCCAGGAGATCCACGTCTCCAAGAAGTGGGGCTTCATCAGGGTTAATGCAGATGGGTTTGAGGACACGGTAGCTGAAAAGCACTTCATCCTGGATGGCTCGGGTCAAATACATCCCTAACCATGGCTCTTTAGCCGAGTGGCAGGCCCTGCATTCATGAAGGCCTTGGTAGCCATATGAACTGCCCAGCCTGTGCCCACCAAATAAAAATTGAACTTCCTGTGGGGAGGGGGGTGGGGAAAGAATGCAATCCTTTTGTCTGAAGTATCTCCTCTCAGGCATGCATTCTCTTTGGTCCCTGCCCTTTGAGCCACATGGTCTCTTGCCCTTTGCCCTCCTCGGACAAGTGTTTTAAAGCTCCTCCAGCACTGATAACTGCCCACAGGCACCTCACTCTGCAAGCTGCCCTCCTGTCCCATAGTACTCAGCTGTATTCATTCTGTGGGCCAGGAAGCCCACCGCTCAGCCTCCCGGTCTCTCTGCTGCTCCTCTGTTGTATCTCATGCTCTTGGTGCTGCTCCTTTGTAGGCTCTCCATGCAAGGATCGCTCAGACTTACTTCACTACTGGTTCTTCCCCCGTGCTGGCCAAGGGAGTCTCTGTTTCCGCTTTTGAAATGGGTCACTGTACCTTGTGGAATGGCAAAACTGACCAGACCTCTTTATTAGGGTTTCATACAACCTGCATGCATGTCATATGGGGAGAGTTGCAAAGACTATGGATAGAAGAACCATAGCAAGTAATTGTACTTTACCAGAGCACTACACCTCAACATAAACAAAATGCTCACAGCTGGTCAATGAGCAACATCACAGTAAATGGAGAAACGATTGAATTTGTCAAGGATTTGATTTTACTTGTATCTACCATCAACATCCATGGGAACTGCAGTCCAGAAATCAAATGACTAATTTCATTGGGCAAATTTGCTTCAAAAGATCTCTTGAAAATACTAAAAAGGAAACTTGTTGCTTTGAGAGGTAAGGTCTGCCGGACAAGACATGGTATTTCAGTCCCTCATATACATCTGACAGTTGGACCGTGAATAAGGAAGATGGGAGAAAATTTGAGTTGTGCTGATGAAGAATATTAAGTATACCATGCACTGCCAGAAAACTGAACAAATCTGTGTTCAAAAATGTATAGCCAGATGCTCCTTAGAAGCAAAGATGTTGATTCTTCAAGTCGTACCCTTGGAAATGTTATCAGGAGGGACTCATACTGGAGCTGGATATTGTGCTTGGGAAATAAAGTAGAGGTCAGTGAAGAAGAGGAAGACTCAGTGAGATGGATGGACAGTGGTCACAGCAATAGGCTCAACTGTAGCAAGTTGTGAGGATGGCACAGTGGGCGGGCAGGGTTTCATTTTGTTGCACACGAGGTGCCATGAGGTGGTGCTGACTTGTCAGCAACATCCAGCAACGAGTCAGTGTTCGACTCATAGCAACCTCATTTGACAGAGTAGAATTGTGCCAATGGATTTCCTAGGGACAGATTTCCCAGGTCTTCCTATTGCAGAACCTCAGGGTGCGTTTGAACTGTCCACCTTATGCTCAGCAGGTGAGCAGCCTTGTACCAGCAGGGCTCCTTTTTCTAGGACCCAGTATTCATGTGACTCAGTTTGTACTTCTAGTACTTTGCTTGGTGCTTGGTACATATTCTGAATACAATTTATCCTGGTGGAGTGGTTAAATAAAACTTACACCAAATGACTCTTTGAAGCAAATGTATGAGGTTAAATAAAGTATTGCCACAAAAATAATAAAAATCATGATTAAAATATCAATATGTGAAGCTCTTGTCTCTAGACATACCCTAATCCAGGTCTGCACACTTCTGAAGGCACTGTTCCAATCCCTCTAACCCTTCCCTGTTGGCCTAGCAGCTTCTCATTAGACGGCTCGCTGCAAAGTTAGCAGTTTGAAAGCACTAGGTGTTCCCAGGTGTTCCACGCCAGAGAAAGAGGAGGCTTTCTGCTTCTGTAAAGAGTTTCAGTCATGGAAAGCCACAGGAGCAATTCTACCTGCTCTATAGAGTTATTTTGAGTCAGAATTATGGCAGGAAGGCAGTAAGTTGGGGTTTTTTGTTAACCCTTCTTTAAGAATTCTGAGCTCTTTGACAGCATATCAGAATGGCAGTTTGACATCCTCAAGGGTTCAAATTGTGTTATTTTTATACGTTCGTTGAGTTTAGGGAACAAAAAAGTTTGAAGGAGGCAAGATCAGGGCTACAGGCAGTTGGCATAAGGTTTCCAATGAAATTCTTCTAGGACAGACAGCCTTTGCTGGCCTTAAAGAATGAACCGCCCTGCCTTCAAGTCCGAATGGAACTGCCTTTGTGGATCCCCAAGGCTATACAGCTTTATAGGAACAGAAAACCTCTTTTTCCTCCCAAGGAGTAGATGGTGGCTTCCAATACTGCCCTTATGGTTAGCCGCTCCACACAGAACCACTCTGACACCAGGGCCCTCAGAGAACGAGCAGGTGCGTTATCGTGACGGACAACAAATTCCTCAGCACAACTCTCTTACCCTTTTTCTCACCAATTCAGTTTAAATTTTTCTGAAACGTTTTTAGTAATAGTCCCTATGATCATCCAATGGCCTTCAAGAAAATCTATCATGATTACCCCCTTTGAAATCCCCAAACACCATTAGCAAAGCCTTCTGAGTGGCCCTGGCTGCCTGTAAGATCTCTTCAGAAACCACTGTTGATTGAACCTTCTTTGAAGTCACCCTAACAAGACTAAGACAAGTACATTAGCCATTCACCCTGCAGAGACATGTTTAAACAATTTAGTGCATACATGTAGATTTACATATAGAGTGAGGTTCCAAGTAATGCATGCACTCACTCAAAAAAACTCACTGCCATCGAGTTGACGCTGACTTACAGCAACTCTGGGATAGAGAAGCACTGCCCCTGTGGGTTTTCGAGACTGAAACTTTGTGAAAGTAGACAGCCTTACCTTTCTCCTGAGGAGCCGCTGGTGGTTACCAACTGCTGGTCCTGTGGTTAGCAGCCTGACATGTAGCCACTCTGCATGTATTAGGGAGCCCTGCTGCCTACAGGTTACAGGTTAGGTTGCTAACCAAGATCATCAGTCCCAAACTACCAGTGGCTTCTAGGGAGAAAGTTAAGGCTTTCTGTTCCCACAAAGAATTCCTGGGCTTTAAAAAAACCCCAACAACCTAGATCTAGTCTTGGAAACCCACAGGGGCAGTTCTACTCTGTCCTATAGGTTCACTGTGAGTTGGCATTGACTCAGTGGCAGTGAGTATTTTGAGTGAGTGCATGTATCAGCTGGAATCTTGGTAGCAGTACTTTGTAGCTTTCATAAAATCTAAACATCAGATATCTTTAGAAACTCATCTCAATTTGGGGGGATTTTCTGGAAATATTTATTTTTATACAATACCATGGGTACCAGTATAAATCTGCAGTAGAAAGCCTCTCAGCACTGAGTTGTATTGTGAGCACTGAGTTGTATTGCCAAATCCAGCTTTCTCCACAGCAAGAGTTTGGAGGAGATAATGTAATCAGAAAACAGCCTGGGTTTATGCTGCTGACCCGCTCATCCTTGCAACTCTACTCTGGCCACGCAGCATTTGTGTGCTGTCTTTCTAGCTTCATCCTTCTTCCTCTGGCCCTAGTCCTCTGGTGTTTCCTCTGGTGAGGCCACACTTCTGAGCTTGAGACTTACTTAACATGCCTTTCTTCCTTTTGTAATTGTGCTAATGGGTTCCTCTAGATAAATCTCCCTAACTGAGTCCATCACCATCTGTTTTCTGCTACAGTCACACTATACGGCTACACACACTATAAATGATGAGAATCCACCGTGTCTGCTCAACAAAAATGTGTGGGTTTTTTGTTTTTAGTTTGTTTGAGGTGAACATGTTTATCACTAAAGACTCCCAACTCCAAAATACTTGTTCTTATAAATACCTAATGATCCTTTTTTAAAATTTCTATGTAACTAAAAAAGACAAATAGAACAATATAGTACTATATTGTAGATTTGCATCCCTTTAATTATTTTATTTTACTTGAAATAAATAATTTTAACGAAAATAAAATTCTCTTTCAGAAGTTCCAGGAAAAGAGTCTTCTGGGGAAATCAGAGTTAGAGCATGCTATTGAACATTTGAAATGTGTTAATCATCAGGTAATTTATCAAATTGGATTTGGGATATATGGTGTTGGGATATATTGTGGTATTTGCTTTCAATTAAGCTTTTGATATGCTACGTATTTTTAAACGGCAACCCTGTATGCTTAGGGAAGCTGTGTAACCAAACCGAAAAACTAAGCTCACTGCATGCAGTCAGTATTGACTCGTGGTGTCCTATAGGGTCAGGATAGCTCTGCCTCTGTGAGTTTCCGAGATGTAGTTGTTTATCAGAATGGGAAGCCCCAGCCCTCTCCCTCACAGAGAGCCTGCTGGTTAGGAATTGCCTCCCTGGAATCAGATTCCTGCTTTGTTACCTATTACCAACAGGGAGACTGCTTACACTGTCTCTCTCTCTGTTTGTTTATAACCTACGGAATTCTAGCATTTCTTTGGGTTATTATGAAGGTCATATTAGTGAATACATACAAACACTTAGAAGAGCATCTGACATGTTGGAAGCACTAAGTAGATGATAGTTATTGTTGTTGCTGTTATTATTCTTAAGAATGACGTAGAGTAAAAAAGTGCAAGCCCACCTTCATTCCTGATTGCCTTCCCTAAGGATGGCATTTTAAGCAATTTGGTTTGGTTTTTGCCATCAAGTAGATTCTGACTCACATTGACCGTATAGGACAGAGTAGAACTGCTCCCAGGGGTTTCCGAGGCTATAAATCCATAGGGAAACAGACTGTCACCTCCTTGATAACTTCAGTCTTTTCTTCCTTACTTTCCTTTCTCCATTCACCTCAACTCCGTGCCATTGAGTCGATTCTAACTTATGGTGACCCTGTAGCACAGAGTTAGAATTGCCTCTGAGTCTCCAAGGTATGAGTCTTGGCAGGATCAATAGCCAAATCCTTCTCCCATGAAGCAGCAGTTGGGTTTGAACAGCTAGCCTTGGGGTTGGAAGTCCGATGACTTAGTTCCCTGTGCACCAGGATTTCTCCTCACATATTGAAGTATTTATTTCTTTTTATCACAAATGGGGTGATTCAATATGTGTGGCCATTTTCACATTCTATCGTGGGACTTCATCGCAGCTCAGTGCATCGAGTTCTGTGTTTGTCTTTTTCAAGGCTGCGTATTAGTTTATGTCTCAAATTGCGTTCACCTGAAAGCAGGCTGAGATCCGAATGTGGTTGCCCGTGGTTTGTCTGGCAAGTGCTCCCAGGAATGAGAACAAAGGAGCTGGGTGAATGAGGCAGAAATGGAGAAAAAGCCCATAGAGGATAATTTGGGGAGAGACAAGCTTTCTCCTCCTGCAAAGCATTCCAGTCATGGAGACCCATGGCGGCAATTCTCCCCTGTTCTGTGTGGGTCACTGTGAGTCGGAACCAACTCAGTGGCAGTGAGTTTGTTGCAGTTTTGGTGACTGCGTGGACCACTGAATCTCCATTCCTCCGAGGGAACGGTTTGGCTGTAGCTCAGAATAAAGGGTGGGAGCCAGGACATTGACCCGCCTCCTCCTGCTTTTCACAATGAAGAATTATTCCAGAGCTGTTAACTCCCCAGATTCCCAGCTGACTGACTTTGGATTAAGTGAGTTCCACTTTTGGAAAACAACCTGAGGTAGAAAAACAGAGAATCAGCAATAAAATGGGGTACAATTTGATATCAGCTTACCTGGGACAAAGGAGATATAAGTGGCTCTAGACACACAAGTCTAACTTGCTTTACATTTTTTGGTTTTGTTTTGGCACCTGCAAACAGCATTGCAGTGAAAAGCTATGGGAATTTGTTTACCTGTGTGCTGTTTACTGGGATTTGGTTAAGCAAAGAACAAAAATAGTTAAAACAATTATGGCAGGACTTGATAGTTACTGAATCTGGGAGTATCTAAATGAAGGTTTGTTGACCTGTTCTCGGTGTTTTAGAAACATTTTCAAATATCACTGTTTGCAAAGTCCTAAGATGACTTTAATAGTATATGAGATATCGGGAAAACTTAATTTTTGTTATTTTTTTAAATTCTGCTTTTTCCTGTTATAGAATTCTAGGCTGACGTTTTCCCCTTGAAAGAAGACAGATTTTGCTGTCTTCTCCCTTTGATTACTTCAAGGAAAACCCTGTGGCCATTCTTCTCTCTGTTCCCTCTGTGCATAATGTCCTTTTCCCCTTTAATTGTTTTGTTTCTCTCTTTTCTACTTTGTTGCTCCTACAGGCTGTTTTCTTCATGTTTCTTATGTTTGGAATTTATTGAACTTCTTGGATCTGCCTGTTTATAATTTTCACCAAATTTAGAATGATTTCAGCTATTATGCCTTCAAAAAGGTTTGTCATTTTCTTCCTCCTCAGCATGTAGGACCCAAATTACACACCCATCAGGCTTCTTGAGGTAGTCGCTCAGCTTATTGACACCATATTCAGTTTGGGGTCCCCTCTAATTTTCTCTCTCATTTGCTTCTATTTTGGCTAGTTTCTTTTACCATGTCTTCAGGTTTACTAAGTTTTCTCCTCTACGGTCTAATCTGTTAAAGCCATCCAGCTTTAAAAAAAAATGTTAGACATCCAAGATTTGCTTTCTTCAAAGCAGATTTCAGTGTTTGTTTTTTAAGTTTGGGATGCCTCTACATGGTCGGTCTTCCTCTGAATTCTTGAATATTTGGACTATAGTTAAAATAACTTACATTTGCCTACTATTTCTGTTGTCAGTCATTTAAAAAAATTATTTACATTTCTCCTTATTATGGGCCCTATTATTTTGTTCCTTTGCATGCCTAATACTTTCAGATTGGATGCTAGACAATATGGCTTTTACTTCTTGCCTGCTAGGTAGTTTGTATTCTTGTACTTGAGCTTTGTTCTGGGATGCAGTCAAGTCAGAACTCACTCCCTTCCTGTTTTTCTTCTAAGTCTTGTTAAGTGTGACCAGAGTAGCGTTTATTCTTGAGTTCATTTTATCCCACCAGTGAGACAAAATACCTTTTGCCTCCTGACTTCTGAGGGCTTCCTTGGGCTAATGGGAACAGGAACTGCCCACAGCCTTTGGTGGTTTTGTCATTTCTGATCTCTCAAGCTGCAATTAAAAAATCTTCCCAAAGGAGAAGGCGACAGGCCAGTCAGGGTGCAGTGTAGCACCAATGAAACATACAGCTTTTCTCTGGTTCTTTAATGCTTCTCCCCTCTAACCCCCCACTATCATGACCTTAATTCTACCTTACAAATCTGGTTAAACCAGAGGATGTACACGGTACAGATAAGAGCTGGAAACACAGGGAATATAGGACAGATAAACCCCTCTGGGCCAATATTGAGAGTAGCCATACCAGGAGGGTAAGGGTAAGGCCGGGGGAGAAAGGGGGAAACAATCACAATGACCTATCTATAACCCCCTCCCTGGGGGAATGGACAACAGACGAGGGGGTGAGGGGAGACATCGGACAGTGCAAGACATGAAAAAATAATTTGTAAATTATCAAGGGCTTATGAAGGAGGACGGAAAATGAACTGATACCAAGGGCTCAAGTAGAAAGAAAATGCTTTGAAAACAATGATGGCAACATTTGTTCAAATGTACTTGAGACAATGGATGTATGTATGGACTGTGGTAAGAGTTGTACGAGCCCCCAATAAAATGAAAAAATAAATAAATAAAAATAAAAAATAATAAAATAAAGCCCGACTTAAAAAAAAGCAAAAAACTTCCCACAAGGAACATTACTGGGCCCAGATTTGCAGTAGATTCTACCAACATTGAAATGGCAATTCCAGTCTTATTCTAAAACATTCCAGAGTTAAAAAAAAGTGGGAAGGGGATACTCTAAATTACTTAATGAGTGCAGTATAATAAAGCACTAGACAAGAGTTAAGTGAATGTGTACAGGCCATTTAACCACATGGTGTGTAATGCTGCTAATTGCCATATTAGCAGGCAAACCCAATATGATAAGAACAAAACCCTGAGATCAAGTTGAGCTATTACAGAAGGCACCTCAGAACGCTCACGTTTACTCATTTCAGATAAACAGCATGTGCTCATTTCGATACATGGAGAAAAAGCATCCACAATTCAACGCTCAGTCTTCAGTGCAGCTGGGTGCCGTTGGGTTGTGTCTGTTGCTCCAGGGGTTGAGTTAAACTGGCCAGCAGGGTTTTCTTGGCTGTCAGTGTTTTCGGAAGCAGCTCTTCAAGTCTTCCTGCAGAGCCACTTGGTGGGGCGCAAACCACTGAGCTTTCAGTGAGCAGCTGACTGCTTAGAGCTTGAACCGTTCTGCCTCCAGGGCTCCTTTTGAGAAAGCTACTCTTAGCAAATTAGGAAAAGTAAGGAACTTCTTAACTGATCAACCTGGGAACAAACATGATCCTTCATGGTAAAGCAACAAAAGCGTTCCTTTAGAATTTGGACCAAAGCCTGGGGGCAAGTTATTGGGACTTTGACTTCATAATCCATAGGAGATGGTGGCCAGGGTATTAAGAGGGGAGTCAATGTACCGCTTAAAGAGGAAAGAGCTCCATACCGCAGAGCATTGTCACCCCTGTGGAAAAATTCTAAAAATTAACTAGAACATTTACCGGAGAGGTGATTGATGTGAAATCAGAGTGCACTTTCCAGTTGTATTCCTCTCTGCTGGTACTGTGCAATACAAGTATAGATGCGAGCCACATAGAAATATGTCATCTTTCAGAAGCTGCGTTTAAAATAAACAATAGCAACAACAGCAAAAACACAATAGGATTTAAACCCCAAATATTATTTTAGCATTTAATCAATATAAAAAATTACGATTATTTTACATTCTTTTTTCTTTTTCCAGCACATCTTAGTTTGTTTAGCCACAGTTCAAACCTTGATAGCCACATATGGGTGTGGTTATAGTATGGGATGGGACAGCTATATGCGGTCAACAAACATTCTGAAAGGATGCCATTGTGGGGGCAGGGAGAGATGCTGTGTTAATAGTGATAGCAAGGTTCACCGAAGACATGGAGGCAGGTTGGCACCATGGCTGCAAAATGGGTTCAAGCACAATTGTAAGAGAGACACAGGCCTGAGC